TATCAATCATGTCCTAAAGAGTCGCACTTGGTTGCGATCAAAAGGATAATGCGATATCTCGCGGGCACGTTGAACGTAGGTCTTTGGTATCCCAAAGGTTCGACATGTCATCTTGTTGGCTATTCCGACTCGGATTTTGCAGGTTGCAAACTCGATAGGAAAAGTACCAGCGGTACTTGCCACTTATTCGGTCATTCGTTAATCTCGTGGTTTAGTAAGAAGCAGGTTAGTGTTGCACTTTCCACCACCGAAGCGGAATATGTCGCTGCGGGAAGTTGTTGTGCCCAAATTCTTTGGCTAAAACAGCAACTAGTGGACTTCGGCCTTATACTTGATCACATCCCAATTAGGTGTGACAATATGAGTGCTATTAGTCTAACGAAGAACCCCGTTCTTCACTCGCGGACTAAACACATAGAAATTAGGCATCACTTCATACGAGATCATGTCCAAAAGGGAGATGTCACAATTGAGTTTGTTGAAACGAAACATCAATTGGCAAACATTTTCACGAAACCCCTTAGTAGGGAGAGTTTCTTCCACATTCGGAACGAACTTGGCATTTTGGATATCTCTATGAACTAATTCATTCTTGTTATTAATTATACTAATTTGAGTGTCGGAGGCGCGATGACTTCTTTTTTGCAGGGCCTTTCAGGTATCTTGGCCCGTGGCATCAAACTGATTTGGACCTGATGATTTTTTTGTGTGTCAAATTTGTCTTAATCGATTACTCCTCAAAGAGGAATCGATTAGTTGCCTCCGTCAAACTTAATCGATTAACAGCCTCCTTGTGTAATCGATTAATTTCTACAGCACAAATCCTTTGGCCTGCTCCATCCTTTTTAATCGATTACCTCTCAAAGAGAAATCGATTAGACGCGCCTGTCTACCTTAATCAATTAAATCACTTTGATTAATCGATTATTATACGATTTTTGGTTTATTAAATCAGCCTTGCCATATCCTCTTTTACAAATCGCAGAAGCTCCAAACCCTAGCTCTTTCACTTCTCCGATTTTCTCAAACTTCATCAGAAATCTCACAAATTTCTTCCATTTTCTCACCAAATTTCATCTTTTTCAAAGAGGGTAGATGCCAAGAACCAAGAACGTTGCCTCGCGTCAGGAAACAGCGGCGGCGGCGGAGGAAGAAGAACGTCCATGGCGTAAGGAAGGAACCAAATACTTCCACATTCAAACCGGGCTTGTCTTCAGGACGGGAGCATCAGTTGAGAGGTTCCGCAACAACTTTCTCACGAAGGAAATCGTTTCACCAAAGATTGTGGACAAGGACCTCTTCAAATCGGCGACCTCGCCATCTCTCGTTTCCTGTGTTGACGGCAAAAACATTGAAATTGATAGTGCTGGTTTGACCTCTCTTTTTGGCCTTCGCTGAGGTGAAATTACCGAAAACTTGGATGAAACATTCCAAGATGAGGAAATTTGGCGACAACTCGGGTTAGATTCTCGTGACCTCAAGTTTAGAAACTCTAGCAACCCGAGTGTCATCAACCTCACTTTGATTCAACGTGTTCAACAATACATCTTCTCCTATGTTTTGTTGCCTCGTGATTCGAACCATGGCGTTGTCAACAAAGACGATATTCGTTTGTATCACGTCCTGTTGAACAAAGTCAAATTTGATTGGGTTCACTTCTTTGTCGTTGCACTTAGTGATGGTACTCGTTTTTCCCATCTCCGTTTTGCCATCCCGATCATGCATATCCTTGCTCGTAGCAAAGTGGATTTTACTCGGGACACTCAGGTGCCGATGAAGAAGACTTGTTTTATCACGGAAGCAAAGTTCACTCGGATTGTCTACCGCAAGGTAAACGAGCAATATTTGGAATTGGTCATTCCAGACGAAGTGGAGAGAGAGACAGAAGCTGAGTCATCTCAGGTCGGAGGAAGTTGAACCACGGAACGCGTCACTCGTCAACGCAGGACTCGTCCGAGAGAAGAAGCACCAGAACCTTCTTGGGTGAAGAGGATCTTTGATACTCTCACATGCATCCGAGACGACGTTCGCCAGCTCAACGAGAGGATGACTCGTTTCGAGCATTCCCGCTCCTACCGTGGCTCGCGTCACAGCTTCAGCGGAGGAGCTCGTCCGGCGAACTCTCTTTGATATTTCCCCTCTGTCTTAACTTATTATGATACTTTGTTATTTGCTATTGTTGTTGTTGTTATAACTCTTTTGATGGATGATGATGTTGCTAGTTATGCATTTGATTGTTGGTTTGGAATATGGTTCTCTTTTAGAACATATTGTCCCTTTGTGGCAGTTCTTGTTAGAATTTCTTTTTTTAAGAAAACTCTTGCATTTTTTTATCCTTAAATATCCCGGCATTGATTAAGGGGAAGGATATCGTCTGATAATGCCAAAAGGGGGAAGGAAGGATAGTTGAGAAAACTTGTTTTTCAAAAACGTTTTTCCGCTTATTACTCCGATATTATTTTTACTGCACTTCTCTAACGATGCAGGGGGAATTTCTTTAAGGGAAGTATTTCTTGAACTTTTACTTTGCTTTTTCTCAACTATGTTTGTCATTATCAAAAAGGGGGAAATTGTTGGACATGAGTTCAAACCCCTTTATTATTTTTTTTGGAATATTTTTTGTTTTGATGAATGACAAACAGGATGATTAAATTCAAGCTGATCGAAATTTATTTTTCGTATCGAGAAAAGCAAAGAGGCGTATCAAGATAAAAATCAATGATCACCCCTACGCAGATTTTTTTGAAATGAAGTGAAGACTCCGAAGACTTTTTAATTTTTGAGTCTAGGAATTTTTGTAAGGATGACAACACCTTCTGCATAAACAAATTAATTTTGAGGGATAAAAAATTATTATTTTCTGAGTCAGTTGAAAAAATTATTTTTTCTGTCTAAAAATATTTTACCGAGTCAGTTTCAAAATAGTGTGTCAAAATTTCTCAAAAACAATTTTTTAAGTTTACACAAATTTTTTTGTGGTAAGAAAAATATACTTTAAATATTTTACGTGTACATCGTTTGACACACAAAATAATTTTTGGACTCTTTTTTTTCCCCTACTCAAATTCATTGAATAGGAAGATTTTATCTGAGGAGCGTCCGTTGATATTCTCGTTGTCCCAAACAACGAGTTAGAAGCCAAAGTGCTTCCAATCGCACTTGGCTTGGGCCCTTTGTGTTTGCACATTATTTTCTTTTTTAATCGATTATATCCTCTAAGATAATCAATTAGATCCATTTTGCTTCTCAGCGCAATTTCTCAGGTCATAATATTTAATCGATTATTTCTTTTCTGAAAATCGATTAGTTTTTACAGAGCCACCTAATCGATTTGTTGCTTCACTTTAATCGATTAATAGGCTCTTCGTTGGATTCCTCTCTTTTGATCATTAATCGATTAACCTTCTTGGTTTAATCGATTAGTCCGGACAGAGCCGACTAATCGATTTTTGTACCTCATTAAATCGATTATCTTTTGCTCTGATTCTCAGGCTTTTTCGCCTATGTGTACCATAATCGATTTAACCTTTAATGTTAATCGATTAATTTTATCTGTTGCATATTCTCAACCTGCTCCAACGGATTTATTTTTCACTCAGCCTATTTAATCCCTCATTCTCCTTCCTCTCCATACTTCACTCTTGCACTCCATATATTCATTGAGCCATTGTCATCCATTGCTTCATCTTCCTCATCAAAATATTATTTTTGAGAGTTAGAAATATTTTCTTTGAGTGCTAAAGATTTTGTCATCCATAGAGCTTTAATTCTTCAACACTACTTTGCTCAATCGTGTGAGCTTTCATTTCTTGTGTTGTTAACTCAATCTCATTTGAGTGTTGTTCTTATCTGAACACACTGAGTTCAGAACAACAAGTAAGAAAGTGAGGCTTGTGTGATTCAAGTTCTCAAGTTGTACCGGTTTTTCAAGCACCCGTTGAAGCTTGAAGATTAGTAGGACTTTCGAGAGAGTCTCTCGGAGGACTGGACTAGCCACGAGGTGGTGAACCAGTATAAATCTCGGTGTTCTTCTTTCCCTTATTTTTTTATTTATTCCTGCGATTTTATTATTTCACACACGCGAAAAACGCACATTCTTGAAAACAACTCTATTCACCCCCCCTCTAGAGTTGCACATTTGTCTAACATAAAAGTTTGCTAAATTTCACGTGGTAGGGATAAACGCAGACTTTCAATTTTTGGACACAAACGTTCATGGAGTTTGGTCATAATCAGTCTTCATCTGAAGATGAACCCAATTATATTAAATATATATTATAATTAAGTATATTTTTATCACAATTTGTAGTTTAGTTGTGTCACTGTTAAACAAAAAAAATCAAAACAGGAAATGTCTTTAGAACCCGAGGGAGTATAAAATTACGTATATTTATATAAGTTTTTATAGATATCAAAAAGTTATCGTTTTTTAAGTGATGCATTCTAAATTTTTTACAATTCATTACAATGTTAAATATATCTTAAAAGGAATGGAAAATTAAGATATTTAATACATGTATTTTGATATTTAATTATTTTTTAGTCCAAACTGTATGAATTGAAATATTCTAAAAATAAATCTCACAATCCATTGTGTTGATTTGAAATCGATGATACTAGGTCATGAACACTTAGTTATCAATCCAAACTCGAACTTACTTGAATGCGATGTCACCTGAATATGAAATGATCGAACTCAAATCAAACCTCAAATCTAAATGACTAATTTGCCAATTTTATAAATGAGTACGTAAAGTCCAGGACTTTCTAATATTTTGGATTCCGTTCACAAAAATCTAAAGGGGATTTTCATAAGCTCGACTTTGGCGGGTCTAGCCAGGGGCTCTGCCCCTTGGACCCCGCCAGGCCAATGGTTGCTAGCCCCAGACCCTCGCTTCCCGAGGGCTCCTGCCCCAGGACCCCTATATATGAATTTGTAATATTCATTGAACGAGTGCGCACTTCGCACCTCCTAACTCCTTTAACAATGTCTATTCAATTAATTTTTGTCTGATCTAAGTAAACCCCAATCATACAAAATAACCGATGACACTAAAATCACCAACAGAGAATTAATCTAAATTAATCAAAAAACCCAAAAGAAAGAGAGTGGGAAGCTGAGTTGTACTGTTGGCGATTTTAGTGTCATCGGTTATTTTGGAGGAAGAATGTCGCGGTGCAGCGTTAAGAATAACTTGATAGAGTATAACGAATCGCGTAGAAGGCTTTCTGATCAAAGTTATTGTGTGGTTACAAAATACTTTAATCAGATGACAGGTTAATCAAGAACAAGCACTGAAAACTGGATTCCTCAACCATACCTATGAGACTCTATTTATAGAGTCAAAAATTGATGATCATAATGAATGTTCGCGTTATAATAATAGTCTTTCTTTATTTCCGAAAAACTATACTTCGTTTCTTATGATGCAACAAAAATCTAGCAGCATTTCTTCATTATATAAATGGTCTTTCTTTGTTTCATCCTAACACATTCTTGAAATGCCACACTCACTAGTGAATGCATTCCATTTTCTTTGATCCATCAAAGTTTTGGTAGCATTTTCCAATGGTTACTCAAGTGGACGATGTAATGTAGTTACATATGCACTTGAAGAATGCATCTGGAAAAAGCCATGCCAAAAAATGATGGAACTAAGAAAAAGAAATACATTCACTACCTAAGTGAGGGAAGCAGTTCAAGAACAGCTCCAAAGTGGGAGCTATTTAAAAATTACTCATATTGAGTAAATTTTAAACGAGTATCTAGGTCGGTTGATATATATTTTTTCCATATATATTATAACATCTTAGATCATGTAGCATAAAACAAACAATAATAAACAATATATATTCCAATGTACTATAAAATAAATTTATGTCAAAAAAATAACACAAACCCAAAAAAAGATTTGACATTAATATCACAATGTCACATTTCAACTAAGGCATACACACAAAAGTAATTCAAGTATCTATGAATTCAAGTAAATACATTGAAATAAAATTTTAATATAACATTTTATAGTAATGAACAAATTAAACACAATGAGACGGCAATAATGTGGAGGGCGACTTGTAGCTAGCAGGCAGCGTTCTAATGGGACGGTTGCTAAGCAGCAAGGATGGAAAAAGAGGAGAGGAGGATGTAGGTGGCGACTGTAGACAGCGCAACGATAGTGGAATTGAGAACAGTGATGGTAAAACAGTGGCGAGTGTGAGGGAACTCGTCGGCGACGAAAGGAGGGGAGGACGACTGATTCAAATACATATACCTTTTGAATCAGTTATTAGTTATAACTGATACAAAAGAGGGTTAGTATTTGGATCGGTTATTACTGATAGCCAATTTAAAAGGTATTTGAATTGGTTATTAGAAATAACTGATTCAAATACTAAGCAGTTGGCGAAAATTAATTCCCTTTTGAATTGATTTTTTTATGTAGCGATTCAAATATGGTAATGCATTTGCTCATTTTTGTACTAGTGTTGGTGAGTGTGGGTGAGTGTGGGTAGTGACTAGCTTTTTAGTTACTCGTAAAAATATATCCCGATATAGGATATAAAAAAGTCTGTTTATAAGTGTCTGGAATTTAGCCTTGTAAATAAAAGGCGAGTTTTTTTTGTATATTGTCATTAAATAGTGAACATATAATTTTTTTCTCTCGTACATTTTTCTTGTGTTTGTTCTCTCATTTTTTTAGCGTTCTCAACATTTTCGGTGTCTTACGTGCTTAAAATTCCAACAATTGGTACCAGAGCTTGGTTGTGCTGGACAGGAGGGGTTTATAAGCGGTAAAAAGAGAAAATTTGAGAACCCAAAGACTGGCCGATTTGGCTAGTAGGTGGCCATGGGACTTCAAGAACAAAGTTGATGGCATGGGGACCAGGTGTGAAGCCAACGCCATGCTGACTTTGTGAAGTAGGGTGCAGGGATCAAGACCGAGAAGACCTGTGTGGTCTAGCAGAGTGGAGATCTGTGGTTTATGCCTTGAGTTGAAAGTCTTCCTGACAAAAGAGTTGGTCGGGCGGCTTGTCCCGCATGTGTTGTTGCGGCGGTGCAAGGTGGGCACATCGGAACAAGTTAATTACTAGAAGGTGGTCACAGAGTTGTTGGTCCTAATGTGTGAAAAAAGGTGAGTTTTCATTTTTTTAGCTCGGTGGAGGTTTAAAACTCTAGGGAGCTAAGGTAGTGGAAGTGATCTTGACGGGGTTGGTTGAGATGGAGTCACAGGTACAATGGCAACTGGGAGCGGCAGGGACCTTGTCGCATTCAGCAATTCAAAGTGGAGCCACGGAGGCTACAAAGGGTGGCGGAGATCTTGTAGAATTTGAGCAAGATAAGGTCACGAAAAAAATCAAGGCGGCGATGATCTTGGAGGATTGACCAAGGTGGAGAGAGAGAGAGAGAGAGAGAGAGAGATAGAGAGATAGAGGTTCTATAAAAAATTACCATAGAGAAAATTCAAGAGGTCTTTAAGAGTGTGGGTGAGTGTAGGGAGTAACTGGCTTTTAAGTTACTCGGAAAACTATGTCCGGATATAGGATGTAGAAAAGTTTGTTTATAACTATAAATGTTCGTATAGATCGTTTCTACGTTCATAGACGATCGTTTGATTGAGTTTTGTGTTTAACATACTTGAAGAACCAAGGATTATAAACCTTGAAATTGTTGTTAAAACTATGAATTAATGATATCAAAATTTTCTATAAACCTTGGAAAATATTTCTATATAGTTTAATTTAAATTTGGTAACTAAAATGGTATTTTTGAAATTGGTCCAAAAAGAAGAAGATGATGAACAGTGATCGATAAAACCAAAGGGTGGATCGATCCACCCTCCTGGATCAATCACCTGGGAGATTTCGTCTACTGTGGATCGATACTAGGTACTGAATTGATCCGCTGAATTGTTTGCTCCGAAAATATTTCTGTAAATATTATTTTTGAGCTCTAAATTTATATTTTTGATATCAATTATGATCAATATAAGAATGATTTCTCAAAATAAAATGATTATTTCATAGGTAAAATCTTATGTGATGCATGACGGTAAGTTAGGGTGTTAACACTCGACACTAGGCCGCTATTTGTTAACGGATATTATGATGACTATTACTGAATAATGATTATGATCAAACCTTGATGGATAATCTGATTGAATGATTATGACAATGAATAAACCATAATGAAACACAACTGATTAAATATTGATTATGACAATTAAATGGATTTATAAAGAAAAGAGAAATACCGTAGAATAAAGAGAAGTGATTCATAATATAGGGAAGAACAAAGGGAGAAAGACCAAAATAGGACTAAAACATTAAAAATATACCGAAATAGGACTTCCATGTTTTTATTCCCGAAATAGGACTTACATTACCAAACATGGTCATATACATTACCAAGAAAGTATAATAATTTGCACATGTACACTGCCACATTACCACAATGCAAAGTCACATTACCACAGTGCAAAGTCCTATTCCGGGGAAAAAAACATGAAAGTCCTATTTTGGTACTTTTCTCTATGTTTTAGTCCTATTTAGGATGATTTCTAAAGAACAAAGAGAGGGAAGATGGTACATAGAAGTCTAGATTCGGAATTTGTGATATTGTTGAAGTAAAAATATCTTTAATATTATAGTCTGGAGAATAAAATAAACATACAAAAATGTTCTCTTTTCTTTCTCTAACAAAACTGTTTCAGCTAGTAAATACATCACATTTTTTTCCCTCTGCGACTTTGAACGTCAGCTGGTCGTCTGTCTTTTCTTCAAAATTTGTCATCAATGAGATATTGGGGTCTTAAATGAGAGTTCATCATCAGGGCTTATGGCAACCACAAGAACCATTCTGTGGTACATATTACTCCACAATCTATTGGGATGCTGCCTTGTATTAGTTAATGCATTACAGTGTTGAACCCATTTAGAATTGGTAATCACCTCCTTATGAGCTCATCCAACAATGAATAAAAAAAACTCTACTCAACTTGTGAGCTCCTCCATTAAACCCTGAAAAAAATCATTATGACATTTTAATACTATACCTTTATGAGTAACCAAATGTGAATCGTCGAGAATCACCTGTGCAATATACTTCTCGGCATCAGTTCTCCTAAGAAAAAGAATCGCATGGAGAGCCAAATTAGCAAACTGATCACTGAGCGTGACAGTACCGATGTCATCAAGGACCCTCACTTTGATGTAGGGGTCTTTGGGTGGTACCATATCCTGGGAAAATATTTATTAAGGCAACTTCTCATGCTGATTCATGGGAGGGAAAAAGTGAGAGAAGCTACAGTATATATAATCCATAATGGGCATTGCCTGTAAGTAATTTATTCAAACAAGTGTCCTCTGATCAAACTAGAGCCCACATTGACAATAAGTGCCAGAAATTTGACAATTATAACCATAAGCTTTGTTGTTTTGATGCTGTTGTGTGTGTGTGTATATATATTATATATTATATTATATTTTATATATATAGATATATACATATACATATACATACACACACACACACACACACATATATATATATATAATATAGGGATTGACTCCAGTGAGATGACATCTTGAGATGACATCCTTCGGTCAGATGACGCAAAGCTCACTACTAGCCACTGCAAAGCTCACCAAAGACAACTACAAAGCACACCAAACTGTAAAACAAAGCTCACCATATTTTTTCAACACTTTGAATTTTTTTTGAAAATATAAAATCAAAGGAAGGGGTGCTGACTAGACTTTGACCGTTGACCACCAACATTGACCGCCGCCTGCCGCCGGTCGTCGCCGGTCACCGATGCCGGACTCCGGCCAACGCCACCGGTCTCCTCCACCGCCGGCCACCGCCGCCGGACTTCGGCCGCCACCGCCAGTCGCCGCCGGTTTCCGGTCGCCACCACCGGCGCCGCCTGCCCCTGTTGTTCACCGGTGGTTGACCGGTGTTGCTATTTTATTTTTAATTAATTTTTTAATTTTCAAAATTTAAAAAAAGGTGAGCTTTGATATTTGATATTCAAAGTGGTGAGTTTTGCTTTATTTCCAAGTGAGCTTTGCGTCATCTGATCGAAGCATGTCATCTCAACATAAGGTGTCATCTCACTGAAGTCAATCCTATGTGTATATATATATATATATATGCGGCCCGGTTCTAGTGACACCGGAGAACAGTGCCACTCCGGTGCCACTGGCTTTTTGGGACACCTCCGGTGCTCCGTTCGTAAAATTGACGGTTCCTACCCCCACCCCTGCACCCCCGCCGGCGGCCGGTGGCAGGGGGTCGCCAGTGATGGTCAACAGTCAATGGTCAAAGTCTAGTCAGCACCCCTTCCTTTAATTTTTTTTTCAAAAAAAATTCAAAGTATTGAAAAAATATGGTGAGCTTTGCCTTACACTTTGGTGAGCTTTGTAGTTGTCCTTGGTGAGCTTTGCATTGGCCAGTGGTGAGCAATGAAGTATATATATATATATATATATATATATATATATATATATATATACTCTCTCCGTCCCCAATTTGATTACAAATTGCGGGTTACGGAGTAAAATTTCCTATTTTTTTGAAATCATTTTATTTACAAATTGGTATATCAATAAGATATAAAAATTACATATTAAAAAACTACGTGAAATGTTCTACAAAACAAGAGGTGACAAGAATATTTTATTTTATCAAATACTTAATGAAATCGCGTAAACAAACAAAAGTTATCGAGAGGAGAGAGAAAAAAAATTGTAATCCATTTAGGGACGGAGGGAGTATATATATATATATATATATATATATATATATATATATATATATATATATATATATATATATATATATATATATATATATATATATATATATATATATATCTTACCACACCCAAGTCCAGATCAAGTTCTGCCATGTATGATTGTAGGGTTGCAGAGTGATTCTTGAAATATTCCTTTTCAGAATTGCTAAGCTTCTCCTCGATTTGTTCAGGGAGTACAGGCTCAAGGGTCCAACTCAAACTGCGAATAATTTCTGAGCGGTTGTATCTATCACCAGAAGAAATCAGAGAAGATTGGTTAATAAAGGAAATGTACTACTGCAGAAGTCATCTGTTCAAGTAAAAAGTAAACAGAAAATAAAGGGTATAAGTGTAAAAGTGTATTTACACATAAGCCATGAGACATCGTTTGTTGCGGATCAGAGACTGGTGGTGAACCAGCAAACCATAGTAATCAGCATCATCAGATGGTTGTTGACTACTTGAATTTTCAAATGAAGTAGAGCTGGAGGTAAAATAGTTTCAGTGCACCGTAGTAAGAGCAAACATAAGAAGCAGAGAGCAAGATTTCAAAGTAATGGAGCATACACACAACACCTGAAGTGCAATAAATTGTAACATAAATGAAATTGTCCAAGGAAGTACGTTCATGAGCATTAGTGTAGAATATGTCCAAGGTTGCTTCAATTGCTCTATTTCCTAAAACACCAGGATCACAATTCACAATGGCTTCACCATTTTCAAAAGATATTTAAGCTAACTGACCTTGAGATAGACTTCAAAAATTCATTTGAAAATCACACATGAGAGATTAATTGTCTTGCCATATTTTAAAAAGAACATGAAACTAAGAATGAAGAAGACATTAGCAATATAATACAAAGAAAAACTGCAGTTTGGAAAACAATATATATATACTCCCTCCGTCCACAAATAAACTTTACATTACGCGTTACGATGTTTGACTGAAGTTATTTTTAAATCATTTTATATGAAAAATGGTGTAGAATTGAAAAATAAAAATTACATATTAAAAAACTATATCAAAAGATCTACAAAACTAGAGGTGACATGACTATATTATTTTATCAAATGGGTGACGAAAATAGGCCAACAAAGTAAATAAAGTTTGACCCTGTGAATAGTGAACGTAAAATTTATTTATGGACGGAGGGAGTATATTATATGATCTCCTTCCGTCCAAAAATGTTCTTCCCTTTCACTATTCACTACGTTTGCTTATCTTCACTACTAATTTCATAATATAATACAGTCATGCCACCTCTTGTCTTGAAGAACTTTTTATGTAGTTTTTAAATATTACTCGTAGCATATAAAATTTATTTTTGAATTTTAGAATTACAACCAAATAAATTGAATTGAACATAACTTCACTCAAACCTCGTAAACCCAAATAGGAAGTAAATTTCCGTACGAAGGGAGGGATAGCTAAGATCAATAATATCCAATCTAGTTACAGTTGGAAAGGCCATACAAAATAAAAAAAGGCTTGCTGCTCGAAAACGTGTTTGCTATTATGAATGCAACAGCCCCCTTCCAGTTCCTCAACAATATCATATGCACTCTAGGACACTTGTATCTATGTGTCAAGCAATGAAGTTTATCACAGTAATACCAGGCACGGGCAGCAAGCAAAATATAGAATATTATAAAAATATACACATCAACATGGCTGGGGACCAGTATGAAAAAACCTAAGAAGCACGGGTACTTCAAGTGTTACCTCATCAGGGATCGTAGGTGAAGGAAATGGCTGTTACATTCTTCAACTACTTGAGAAAATAGATCATTCTGCATAAGAACGGAAAAAACCCAATTCATAAAACATCGAAGGTATTTAACATCTAAATAAAGGAAAAAACATTGACTCTAAATTGTCTTCAAAATCTGAATAAAAAAACCACCAAAAGGGTAGTATGATGCAAGAAGTGAAAACATAAAATTAAAGAACACCTGTGCAAAATCTTGATGCACATCACAAAGTATATATTTCACCTCTCCATTCAGTAAACGTTAAAAACAATAACAGATGAAAGTAGTAAATCAAATGCAGCAACAGAATAACAAATTGTAATATAGGTTGAAAGGACTCTTGCATTGTACGCTGCAAGCTGCCCAGGTTCGCCGTCTGCAAGTTCTTTCACTAACTCGCACCCTTTCTTTCCATACATTTTGATTAATTCAGTGAGATTCACACTCTACAAACTGCACCAAAAACCATTGTTAAGTATTAAGCTACAGAGGCGGATCTAGGATTTCATGACCATGGGTCCCCTACATCCGAATCATGTCTCGAACTAATTCATACCATTTAACAATTAACTAAAACTAATATTTGAATACTACTAGAATTAATACGGATTACAAAATCATATGAAAATAATGTCCTTTACAACTAGACTCTTTTGATTTTTTTATTTTGAAAATGATCTATAATTACATCATCACTAATAGTAGAAAAGAGATCCATCTCCCCATATATTACTAACTAGGGGTGTTCATCGGTCCAGGACCGGACCGAAGACCGAAATGGGAAAAAATTAGGACCGAAGACCAGACCTATAAGTGTTTGGTTTTAGACCAGACCGAACCGAAAACCCTTAGACCGGACCGGTTTTGACCCAAAAGACCGAACTGTACTAATTCTTTTACTTTTTAGAATTAATTTTTTAAATATTTTACAAGTAGAATAACCCTAAAAATGTAATTATACCCAAAAATTATAGTTCATCACAAATCATAATCAGGAATTAGAGATGCAATTGTATTAAACTGAAAAAACTTCATCATGCAATTGAATAAAAAAATGGCAGTAACTTGGATTTTATTTCTTCATTAGATTCCTTCCAAAATTGAACCAAAAATAACAATTGTTCACAAATCATAGTAGGGAATTGGGGATGCAATTGTATCAAAGTGAAAAAAAATTGCAGTAACTTGGATTTTATTTCTTCATTAGATTCCTTCCAAAATGAAACCAAAAATAACAATTGATCACATATCATAGTAGGGAGTTGAGGATGCAATTGTATCAAAGTGAAAAAACTCCATCATGGAACTGTATAAAACGGATACTAAGAAGCCCTGCTCGCGAATTATACCTCTCGATTAGGTACAAATCGGACACTAAGAAGCCCTGCTGGCTCGCCAATCGAGGCCAGCCGCTGAAATCTGATTCTGGAGTTCTTCTCATAACCGGAAATGGAACTCTGGAGATCGATTCCTTCGGAGGGATTCGATCGAGCTTTACTCCAGTCAATCGGAAGCCAAAGTGAGTGCTGTTTTGCTGGATAATGGGAATTTTGTGCTGAGAGAAGATGGAGATTGTCGATTAGGGAGAAACGACACCAGAGAAAAGGGATAGCCGGATAGGGTAGGGTTGTAGAAATTAGGAATTAAAGGGTTTTATGGGTTATGTCCAGACCGAAAGGTAATCGGGTATGGAACTGACCCGACCAAAACCCGAAATCATATACCCCGGAGTATCTTCCGGACTGAAGACCGACCCGATATCAATTCGTTCCGGGTTCGGTCTGGACCTATCGGTCCGATCGGTTTTTTCGGTCCAAAACTAAACATGAACATCCCTATTACTAAGTAATCATTCAACCATTGATCATATATTTTATTCCCCAACCCATTCTTCACAAACTTCATTTAGGAAAAAAAATGTTCAACACTTGTTGCAACATGAAGTATCAATGCCTTTATGAGAGTACATACAGAACTATACCTAAGAGACTTTTTAGTGGACACCGTTTTCATAGAGAGCTCAATAATACTCTTAAACCACCAAATCTACTTTCAGAGAGGGAACATCCATGATATAATTCTTTGAATTTAGGTTACTTTTTTATATACCTTTGCTTTGTAAATTATAAGTTAAAAATAAAGATTAGTTATACAAATTAGACATAAATTGCACATTAATACTTATCACTTTAAATCTTTAATCAATTAGTAGTCATAATCAATCTATTATAGATATAAAAGTAGAATCAAAATTGAGTAAACTTCCATCCAATTTTTGCTCCAATGTGACAGTCCAATTTCATACGCAATTGACAAAATCTAGCTGTCAATTACAAGGCAAATGTTGTCGAGAAATCCATGATGATTGAAGGGACGGTTTCCATCTCTTCCTTCTCTTTTCTAACACCCTCGCTGATCTGCGCTAACTCACCATCCAGCCTCCACCTCTCTTTTCCTCCCTCCTCCATCTTCATGCCTCCATCCTACGCTGCCCGATCCGCCGTCCATAGTAAGTCCAATTCATCTCCTTCTCCACATGTTAATTGCATAAATAGTTTTTTTGAATTTCAGATAATATTTTCAAATATGCTATGCTTAAATTGATTTACGATTCATGACACTTTACTTGTTAAATTGCTTCCGTTTCAATTTATTTCTCTGATTTGAATTGCATTGTGTCAAAAGAAAAGATGCCAGATCGAGTTCTTCAAACAATTGAAATTTCTTAGAGAACCTTTTTTCTGAAGTTGCTAAACATGAACCGAAACTGGCGCTGAATGGTGGGCCAGATTGGTTTAAAAGATCTTTTTCATCTTTGCAATGGAGCTACTTCAGTGCTGAAACCGGGTGGTTTCTTTGCTTTCGAGGTAGAACAGTTCATTTTCTTAAAAAAATTAATATTCTCATTATTTCCTTGAAAAAAAATTTCTCATTATTTTTGTAAAAATTTTATACCAATCAAAAATCATCTTCAATTAAGTTCAGTTATTCTGTCCTTTTTCATCTATTATCTCAAAGTTTTTTTTTCTTTTTTTTGGCTTGATGTTAGAAGAAAGTACAATATATCATCAACAATCTTTGATTAAATGGAATCCCAAAACATAAACTAAGGTTATAATGACCTTCTTGATAGTGGAAATTTTAATATCAAGATCTCTCTAAACGGAAATTTTAATATTTTCATAGATAATCAAATTGAATCGAATACAAACATCATAAACAAATGTAAGAAGTGTTGTTTTGTCTATTTACACTACTAGGAAACACCAACAAAAAGTGAATGATTAAGATATCGACTTTACTAACCAAAGATAAAAAGATTATCGTAAATCATGAATTCAAGGTATTAATCCGAAAATGGCTTCATTCTCTTTTCTTGCAAGTTCGGTAGCATTGTTGCCACTCGTGACATTGTTCATGTGAGTTATGCATTTGATGGCCAACTCTATTTCTGATATTGTTTCTCTTCATAAACTAACAATGGGAATGGAAAGGAAACAATTAGAATCTCTCCCCAAGATTTTTTATGGAGTGAGCAACACCATGAGGGAATGTTGATCTAATGAAGCTTAAAGATAGAAATGCTAGAAAAATAGGGAACGAGAGGGGTTCATATTTTTCTTGCCAACTTTTTAAAATGTTAAATTTTTTGTATGTTCATAACATTTTAATTGTTTATCCAGGTAATTTTGCTTCTGGAACTCAGGTATTTTGTTGAGAAAACTATGATAGATTTTGATGATGATGTATTTAGAATGTAATAGGGACTTTAGGTCTCCCCCAATATTCAATGTAATTTTTCTTTTTAGAAATATTGTCAAAACTGAGTTCTTGAGATCTCCAATAAAGCTGTGATATTTCTTTAAGCGTTTTGATGCCTGAAGACTTAATCTTTTTCGGTGATATGGAAATTGGATATCTTGATCGGAAATGTCAGAGACAAGTAAGGATTTCTCAATCAGATGAAAATCCTCTGATCCGGAAGACTACATAAGTACCGGATGTCTCGACGCGCTGAAGGCTAAGTCATCCAAACCGGAAGACTAGCGCGGATCTTTATCTCACCCAGAAGTCTAAGAATGACTTCTCCGGATTTGTCAGCTAAGCATCGGAAGACTCATTGAAGACCGGAATTCTCAGAAAGCGGACAAGTGAGAAAAGACTTAGAAAAATTATCTAAGTCTTGAATGAAGAAATTCTACTCGTTGGTAAGGAAAAATCAATCTCTTGATTTTCAACGGCTAGATTGAAGATAATTATGCTGATT